TAAATCAAAAGACATCCGCCTGAAGTAAAATTAATTTCCCACTGAAAAATAAAAAAACATTGGAACAGCTTTACAATCCGCCCTAACAATTTGATGTCTTATGTGTTATCTTTTCTTTTGCGCTCAGTCGAGCAACTTGAACAAACTGCCTTATCATGACACTGCTGTAACTGTAGCTGACGATTTATTTTTTATTATTTTATGTACTTTCATTTATTAACGCAGCTGAGTTATTTATTCTTCTGTTACACCAAGAAAAAAACATTATGCCATCGGATAGTTGGCTGAGCACATCCGGGATGGTTTTTGCAAGACTTGGTCCGACTTTATGGCCTCCGGCTTCATTGTGTGGTTAGAAGATAGAGGTAATAACACATCGCCTTATAAGACGTCGCCCCATCCAGTGGTTACTGATGCACATATCCAAACTTCCTTAACTAACTTTCGGTATGTTCATATTAATCTATAACAATCTACAATTGGAAGTGAAAACGCAGAATTTTATTTAACATGCAGTGATATAGCACAAAATTTTACACCATACAACATTGTAATACAACAATGTACATTCGTACACATGTATTGTCAATTTAAATATGTATATGCGAGAGGCTTGAAAGAAAGTTTATTATTTGAAATAGGGATGAGCGCTTAAAAGATATATACCAAGATCGAGATAAGCCATCAGACACTACCGGTACAAGATATGCATTTAACTTTGCTCAAACAAGAAACGCTAAAGGTGACACTTTAAGAGAACACAAGACAGTTAGTAGCAATTATAACCATTGTCTCTAAATACACCGCAACAAATCTAGCCTGTTCCGAAGTGGAATCAGAATCCACGGTGAGTAATGTCAGAGTCCTGAGCGATAGTTTCGATATACACAGATCCACACAGGCAGGTGAATGGACAGAAGGCATATCCAAACCTGTGAAATTACAAACAGAACATAAAAGCCAACTCTTGTCTTCGATAATCAAATCTTACGCTCATGTATATCATATAAGATAATGATCTATTATCAATCATTTGAGTTTTGCTATTACTAATATGGAGATATAAACTTATCGATTGAATTTAGTGTATGAAAGACACGATATCCTGAGACCGAAATACACTTCTCCCCGGACAGTACCTTAATTAATTACATGACTTTTTGTGTTTAAATTTGGTCTCGCGAACTTTTAAATGTAATTATGGTGTAAGCTTTCTCACGAGTATAACACTGTCGTTCGTTCGTTAGTCTGCTATCGCTTGTTCATTTTTATAGCCTGTCGCATGCCTACCTCCTCCTTTAATCATTCCGTTTTTCCCCCCCCAACTCCTTTTTTTCTTAGGTCTATCCCATACTCTTCCTATCTTCTTGAATAGTTCATTATTCCTTCATTTGTCCTTCCTTCCTCGTCTTTTTGTCCTTCCGTTCCTTCCTCTTCTTCCTTTTATCTTTCCGTTACTTTTTTACTTACTTCTTCCTTCTTCCTCATCCTTTCTTTCTATCTTCCTTTCCTTTTTCCTGCATCATTCCCTACATTCTTTTTACCATTCATTCTAATGATACAAAACATACTTCAATTGAGCTGTTACATTAAAATAGTGTATATTACGATAACCGGCGTAATCAATTCAGATTTTCTTCCACGCCTGTCCGACCGTGTGCGTAAGCAGAAGTTGGGTGCGCTACAGTAGTCCTGATATCATAAACGCATGTGCCACTCGTTTGAATGAACAGTCCGAGATGCGTTGCAGTAAGCAATAGTCACGACATTATGTACTCGATTAAAGATACTCGCTGTTTCTGAGAGTTTAACCTGCTGACTTTGAATACTCTGAATGTAGCGCTGAAATTGTCACTGCGGAGTCTGTGAAGTTATCAACAACAGATGCATAAATAGCTACTTCAAACATCTCAGTCTCATAAAATTATAGATAACATGATTGGGTGACGCATACTAAAGGTATATATCGTATAATCAATCATGCGTGATGAGAACAGCTGGACCGACACAAGACGAACCTGACTGTGCATCCATGTAGTTAACACGTAAACGGTGGCAAACAGCGAGAACCCAGGTAACCGAAGAGCAGCTGCACGAATTCACACGACAGAGCATACGCAACACTAAGCTGACCAAGACGAGAATAATATTTTTCCAGACATTGCTCCAAACTTAACCAGAACAATGTAATGTGCGATCTAGCGAGTAGAACGGTATTAAGCCTCAATATAGGTAAGGAGATATCAACTATTAATATACACCAATACAGTTCTAATGCTTTATTCAATATGTTACAACTAGTAGTGATACACGATCATGAGCATAAACCATGAAGTTAGAGTAGTGAGTCTAAGAGACACTTCCTAAGGGGCTAATTTTGGAAAACTGTTTGTGGTTGAATATATTACATTAATTATAGACAAAATCTGTAATGTCGGAGCGTTGGTAGCTAAACAACTATAGTTTTACCTCATACAGCAGTATAGAACAGAAATAATCAGTTTATTTTCGATCAATATTGTCTAACGTCGGGGGTTTAAACAGAGTTCGGTTTGAAAATACAAAGCTGTTTTTTTCTCAAAAGATGTCTAGTTGAATGACAGTGTACTATCCTTTTTTGTTTATGAAACAACACAAAAAACAAACAAAAAACCAATCAAAAAAACCGCGTTATCATAGCTTTGTGCAGACGTCTCTTAAGTACACCAGTGTGAACTAGTCGAGTGCACAAACTCACATATATACTCATAATCTACAGACAGTCCGACGCTCCGAAGTCCTTTATTTGTGACAAAACATGGCGAGTGCAATCAAACTTATGCAATCACGCGTTCGTCTTGTCTGTACTGAATATACGTATATTTGTTCCAATGACCTTAAATGATCGTCCATGTTATATAAAGAATTATCATATATAATGCAAAAAATCGTTACATGTCATTTTTGTAAATTTTCAAGTGAAAAATAACAATATCGCGTTAATATTTTCGTTTACGACATTCGTTACTCATTAAATTGTAAGAAAGAACACTTGTTTCTTCTTGAAGATTTGGGATCCAAGATTTTGTAGCTTCATAAATATAAAGTTATTTCACTCTTTTAAAAAGAACTTACAAATTAAACCAAAATCAAAGACACAGTTTACAAAAATCATGAACGTCCAATTTCTCGATAACTCGGATAATTAGCAACGTCAACCGTAGACTCATTGACGTCACCATGTTTCAACGAATTTACAGTGACTCTCAAGAGGAAGGAATAACATACGTGAGTTATTCAGACTGTAGATTGCGACATTAAGTACAACTGGCGTTCAGTTCATGTAATTATTAGTCATTTGTCTCCTCCATTTCTATGAAACAAAATAAGTTCTAATAAGTTCTAAATGCTTACATTCAAAAAATTTGAACCATTAATTTAGTTTTTGACCGAAATTGTTTTCAAAAAATTTAAAATCGCAAAAGTACATAAATTAGAGACATATTTATTTCTTCTGTTTCAACAATAATATAGGATATTCAAGTTTTTTTTATCTAATAACACAGGATTTTCTTACATCGAGTGTTTGAAAATAAATATCTTCATATGGCGGAAGCACGAGTGAAATCATCATAATTTCAACCCAACATCAAATAATCCTGTAAATGAAAAAAATCTGTTTATTTATACATTTTTTTTCCTCTGCTTATGTCTGACATTACAATTTTGAAACCGCTTTCCCTTAAATATTGTGCACTGGCAGAATTAAAGAAAGTAGTTCGGCACCAAGAAAATAAGCGAAAATATGTTTCACTGCAAGTGAAAAAATAAATGTTTGTTAATATTATGTCAAAATACTCATGTTATGCCACATAAGGTAGATCAACAATCGTAGCAAAAATGGTTAAACATAATTACAGGGAATTATATACTTGGCTTTCAGGTGATTTTTACGCGTGAAACTTTCTGCACACGCTAGAAATGTCTTGCGATCGTACAGTCAGAATTTCACATATTTACTAAACTCGTTAAAAGAATATTTTGAGATATATATAGCTTATGATAATATCCATAACTGAATGTAGAATTAACATATACAATCAACTCTCTATATACCTCACGTCACGTGACTAGCTTTAAATTACATCATATGAACCAAATACAAGGCAATTATTCGGTATGACGGCCCATGCAATAATTAAGGGGAGCTGTAATAAGTCAATAATGCTAGGAGCCCATTCCTTTCTAGAAGTGATCTCTCTATTAAAGCAGTTCTATAGAAAACAAATTGAAAGGGTTCTGAAGAAAATGTACATTTATTTTGCTTTAAATAAAATTTCTAGGTAATTAAAAACAAAATTTAATGAATCAAGAAAGTACGGTGTCACGTTAAGGCCATCCCCGCATACTTATATACCTAAACAACGATAATGCGATACGTACTTTTGCGTGTTTTGCGTGTTTTTGACTTTTCATCATCGTAGTATCATCGTTGTTACAGTGTAAGAATATGCGGAGATGTCCCTAACGTGACACCGTAAGAAAAACAACTCAATCTTGGTGGGTCTTTAAACCACCCAGTTTCATGAGAATGATAGTATAAAGTCAAATACTGATAAATTCATAGATTAGTTATCATTTTTCATTGTAAATAACCTCGACTTGAACTAAATATTGTACAGCTGGCAATGACTTCAAATAACTTGTAACTGGTTCATATATGTTAGCATATTCTTTGTTTTTATTGATTACATTTAAAATAAATCCTGGATGAAATTTTCAAAAATGAAATTTCAATTGTTTCTAACTGTGAAATGAAGTATGAGTGAAAATTAAAAATAAATATTTCAGTATATCATTGAATTTAACATGTACGTAGTTTTATCTTCATTAGGTTTGTCTATCTAATAGTGTTACTTCATTATATTTATGGTAAAAACAAGCATCAAATATATTTTTATAAAAAGTTTTCGAAGTCGCATCCCAGATCCAACATGTTTATTTTGCAAGAACATGAAACGTTCAATTTTGCTTTGGCTCCAAATATCATTGCAAATTACAAATCGATTCGACATTTAAAGTACATCACTTTAAATCGCATATTTTAAGTTTCATATCCAACACATAATTTTGCAATCTTACGCACAGTATGGCTGACGTTATCGCTATTGTTATGTATATAATGTAGATACTTGTTTAATATAAGTAGTTACAAAGTTCATTTTTATCATAGATGAAAATAGGTTGCTCGTCGTCCTTGTTCAAACGTGGCCACTTGAGACTAGATTTGAGCCGTGTCACGACAAAACCAACATAGTGGGTTTGCGACCAGCATGGATCCAGACCAGCCTGCGCATCCGCACAGTCTGATCAGGATCCATGCTGTTCGCTTTCAGTTTCTGTACTTGTAATAGAGTTGGTAAGCGAACAGCATGGATCCTGATCAGACTGCGCGGATGCATGCTGGCCGCAAATCCACTATGTTGGTTTTGTCATGACACGGCTCAATTATATACTACTATACTAGTACGTCACGTTATTGTCCTCAATATTAACATTCTAATTTATCAGTCGTATTTTCGGATTATTAGATTTGAAAGTTGACAAAAATATGTGATCAGGAAGTTTATTGTTTTAATCATAGGAAAAAGTTAGAAATAGTTCAGATACATTTTTGTTTCAAAATGGAATACACAACGCATACACAGGGTATAGATTTTACTTTTGTCCTAAATACATGTATGTCTAAATTGTATCGTCTATTTACCTAATATTTAATGCCTCTGAAATGCTTTTTTTTTTCGTTTGTCAAAAGCTTTTATTTTTAATGTCTTGTTTAATAGTTTCCAAAAAAGTTACTTATTAGTCAATTACTTGAACCATCGTGTACTACTGTTGCTTTTTTGCAATTAATAAAACGTATAGTGATTTAGTATTTTGTACGGAAGTCAAAATACTTTACATAGTTAACATTTTGCTATTTGTATGACAAATGATTTCACATGCTCCACATTCTTCTGGAGATAAGTATCTAAATTTTTCTGAAACCATTATTTTAACGTTATGAGACTTTTGTAAATGTGTTGTTTTTTTTTTTCGTATCTGAGACATAATATGCTTCGAAAACGAACGCAACATTAATTCAACTATACATGTTATCAACATAAGTATTTTCATACTTTACATATGAATTAACATGTAAATTCATATAAGGAAGAACAACTCTACACCGAACATAGACGATTGGACAGTGTTGCATTTTGACTTAAATCATTATTTTTCTTCCTTCAGGTCCGTGTATGCTGTCTGTGTTCAGTAAGACATTAGGATATGTTTTGATAGGAACCATGACTGTCAGTAAGTAATAAACATAATTTAGCTTATTTTATTAAGCATATGAATCTCAATCTGCGGATGCATCAACATTCTACCAGTTCATGTTAAATGTTGAATTATGTTAAGCCGGTGATAGGGGGTGTGGACGGTAACTTGCACTTTCCAGTACCGTCCATGAAAAGGCTAATCAATCCGAACCTGCAACATTTACAATTTTGGCTTTCTTTAGGGATTCTTATTTTCTCTACTCATTCGGCTTCTGTCCGTTTCTTTCTCCATTGTAGGCAATCGTTCATTTCTACAATGTTATTTCAATCTAAAAACACATTTTTTTTTACTTCTACGGATTTCTTTTTTAGGTCTGATACCACAAATTGTAAAGATATTGAGAAAGCGGAGTGCTTCTGGAGTCAGTTTCGTTAGTATTTTGTTGACGCTGGAAGCGTCTTCGGCAACTGTCGCTTACGCCATACAAAAAAGATTTCCTGTAAGGTAAGCCACTGTTTTATACATTATTACAGCAAATTATCCTGTTCAAACGGATAGAACAAAGGAATAGTGAAATATTACAACATTTTGATCTGCACTGACTCAACTTTTTTTTTCTGATAATTTAAGAAAAAATGCATTCATACATATTTGAATAAGCAGTAGGAGGGCCTTCGTGGTGAGGAGTGATCGCGGGTGGAGCCGCCACGAGTGCAGATCTTGATGGTAGTACTGTAGTAAATATTCAAACGATAATGACATTGCTGGATTATGATACTGTTTAAATAGTTTGTATATTAACGATTAAGACGTATAAATTACATCTAATGATAACAAGAACTTTGATATTTTAGCCTTTCTCAATATAAATATAAAATTATAATAATTACAGTCTGAATAAAAACATCATTAAGGGAGGAAAAAACATTTGCGGTGGTTTTAAATATTGAATAAAAAGGTTGCTGACAGAAACGTGTTTAATTAAAATGTTTAGGACATATTAATTTCTGCAAATTTCTCTACGTGCTGTCATGTATGTGTCTCATTATAATTAATTAACTAATTTGTTCTTATTTTTATGCGTTGCTTCTTAAGCCAAGAAATAAAATAAATCTAAATGTAGGTCTACGCTATTTAGTAAATACTAAATTCTTTTTTTGTTCGATCATTCGTTCTTTCGTTCCTTTTTTTATTTTTCTATATTAATTTCCTTTTCTTTACTTGTCCTTTATTCCTTCCTACATTCTATCCTACCTTTATACGCTCCTTTGTTTGTTCGTTTATTCCTTCATTCCTTCGTTTGTTCCTTCCTTAGTTCGTTCCTCCGTTCGTTTGTTTTTTCCTTCCTTCCTCCTTCGTTCTGGTATTCCTTTGTTCCAAGACTGGCTTCAGTGCGCCCAAATTTCATCCACTTAACACTCAATAATCGACTTTTTTCATAAGGATAATTCCTCTATTCCATTTATTCTAAAGCTATCAACTTTTCAGTAAAAACAAAACTTGTTTGTCATTTTTTTATTCTTTTTGTGGACATTCATTCTTTTCTTCCGAGACATTATATTCTATCAATTTTTTAAGAAGTTTGAACCCGTTCACTATTGACCATGATTTCTCTGTTTACTTGCAGTGCATGGGGTGAGAATATAGTACTGATGCACATGAATGTGGTGCTGATTTGCCTCCTACTACGCTACAACAACAAACTGAAAACATCTATAACTTTTCTAGCAATATATATATTGTTTATGCTATTAACTGCTGTGGCCAACTGTTCCCAGTCAGCTTGTATGGGGCCTATATCTATTAAGCATGCCTGCAATTGCTGCAAGCAGGGTAAGTTAGCGTTTGTTCAAATATTAATCATTCGGCACAGGCTTTCGAAAACAGAATGTTTCTCTCTGAGTCTTTTAGCAAAGTAAATACTTATTACACGTATAACCAAATACTTGTTCCATGTTGAGTCCGGTAATTGTGCCATATAATTATCTTATTCATGTAAGTGTTAAAATGTATTTTAATTTTGCAACATACTTTACTTTTTTGTTCGTATTGATTTCTGTTGTGCGCAATAATGGTTATGGCATACGATTCAATTTGCTGTTTACATCAGCTTTGTTTTACGTCATTTATCAAATAAAGAGTTTAGTTAATTTTTCTGTTCCCCTAATTATGATTCTTGACTTTCACTTGCAGTTAATACAAATGTATAAAAACCGGAAGACAAAAGATCCAGGTCAGCTTTCAGCAACTACGGCATTTTTATGTATATTCCAAGGGTTCGGACGCCTTACGACGTCAATAGTTACAACCGGTGATGACGTCATGATATATACCTTTGCTGTCGTCACGCTATTAAACATTCTTCTCTTTTTACAAGTGATATATTACAGACGAAAACTGAAGAAAGTTTCTTGAGATAGTAAATGACTTATGACTCGAAGTCTATTGGAAGTAGACTTGCTTTCAAAAATATAGGTAACAAGCGTTGGGAAAGCTACTCGGGCAAAATGTTTAGTCTTTGAAGAACCGCTAACTGTTTCCAGAAAAACAAATGAAGATGTAAGAATGAGAAGATACCGCTTCTGTCGGGTCGCCAACAGCGGGCGATGGTCAAACCGACAACCTTCCACCGGTAGCTGGGTGGCAATTAGTATACATTTTAGTCAGTCAAAGGTTCATAAAGTTGACAGAAATTTACCTTTGCATTATATGTATGTCGGTGGTCACTTTCAAAATGGGCCAATGTTTCATATTTATATATGTAATTAAAAACTTTTTTTCGGGAGATACCTTCGTGATAATGCGCTTTGAAATGGAGTGATATTGCTATTTAATAAAGAGTGCTGATTTATTGATGTTAATTAAAAAACAATTGACCTATAAGTATTTGCTGTTATGTGTTCGTATGTCGCATTTTCAATTTGTATGATGCATATTTTTATGTTATTTTGTACTTGATGGAAACTTTATTTCAATCTTAATAAATCTTGAAAATCTGTTGAAAGCCTTACATGTTATTGCTGCTGCTGCTGCTGCTGCTGCTGCTGCTGTTATTGTTGTTGTTGTTGTACATCTTTATACATTGAAGTTTTAGTATTCGACTTAATAGGCAAATGCTTGATGTTTTTTATTTTTAAATATATCTTATAAGAAAGAAACCGTCATATTTCAATTTCCATAGTAAGCCAGTACTAAACAAACGGACGTTTTTCAAAGAAGCCCACTAGGAATCTTTAAATAATCCCGTATTTTTGTTGCAGTTATATAAGAAACTGGTTATCATAAAAATAACACAAATCTACACCCAAAACGTGCGTAAATTCATAAAGATTCCTAGTGGGCTTCTTTGAAAAACGTCTGTTTGTGTAGTTTATGAATTCTCATGCAATGTATGAGAATTCATAAACTACATTTGAAAAAATAAGTAATCAAGTTGTAGTATAGCTACTTTCAATCTAAAACAAGAGCTGTCAGTAGGACAATCTGCTCGTCTATTCTTATTCTTTGGTAGTAATACAAAAGCTCGGATAACGTAGCATTTTCGTACGGTGGCACAGAGGTGACATGTGGGTGTCTTTATTTATCTCGTTCCCACGAGATAATAAGTCGTTCCCACAAGATAATATCTCGTTCCCACGAGATAATTATCTCGTTCCCACGAGATAATAAGTCGTTCCCACGACATAATATTTCGTTCCCACGAGATAATTATCTCGTTCCCACGACATAATATCTCGTTCCCACGAGATAATAAGTCGTTCCCACGACATAATATCTCGTTCCCACGAGTTAATTATCTTGTTCCCACGAGATAATATCTCGTTCCCACGAGATAATTTCAGCCAATCAAAACTCAGTATAGTGGAAAAATTAAAAGTTATTTCCCTTTTTTTAACAAATGCTAAAATGGACTTTAACAATCAGGCTAATATTAGAAACCTTATATCAAGATACTTTCATGAAAGATTGAATTACCGGCAAATAGTGACTGTGTTGCGAGAACAACATGGGATAATTATTGTCAATAAGACATTTATATAGACTTTTAAGGTCTGAAGGACTTCAACGAAGGTCGTACTCTGATCCATCTTCAGTTATAGACTTCGTCCAGAATGAACTCCAACATTCAGGCCAGCAACACGGATACAGGATTATGCGTGAAAGATGTCTGGCAAATGGTTTATATGTTCGATCAGGCGACATAGCAACCATTCTCCGTATAATGGATCCCGAGGGTAAGAAAATAGCACACCCGTCTTTATAAATGTATAGCCACAAATAACAAAATGTCATGTAAAAAACTTGAGACACAGACATGACAACAAACGTCATATTTATAAGACTTTCTTTTCTGTATCCATTATCATATATTCCTTTATGTTATTTGATGAACAAAAAGCCTCTTCTGTATGAACTTCATAAACGCACTACCCAATTAAAGGAGAAATCACACAGCATCCAGCAGTATCAAAGCCACATGATCCCTATGCGACCAAACATTCACTTTGTTAAAGGGTAAACCCAATAGCAACGATGTTGGCCTATAAACATGAGAATACATACAGGAGAGAAATACTTTAAATGCGACGTGACGTGAGAATACAAACAAGAGAGAAATACTTAAAATGCCACGAGACGTGAGATTACATACAGGGAGAGAAATTCTTTAACTGCGACGAAAAATGAGAATACATACAGGAGAGAAATACTTGAAATACGACAAGACATGAGAATACATACAGGATAGAAAATCTTTAACTGCAACGAGACATGGGAATACATACAGGAGAGAAATTCTTTAACTTCGACGAGACATTAGAATACATGCAGGAGAGAACTTCTTTAACTGCGACGAGACATGAGAATACATTCAGGATAGATATTCTTTAACTGCGACGAGACGTGAGAATACATATAAGAGTGAAATACTATAACTGCGAAGAGACATGAGAATACATACAGGAGAGCAATAATTTAAATGCGACGAGACGTGAGAATACATACAGGAGAGAAATTTTTAACTGTGACGAGACATGTGAATACATACACGAGAGAAAAATACATACTGGAGAGAAATTCTTTAACTGCGATGAGACATGAGAATACATACAGGAGAGAAAAAATCTTTAACTGCGACGAAACATAAGAATATAAACAGGACAGACATTCTTTAACTGCGACGTGACATGAGAATACATACAGGAGTGATTTTTTTAAATGCGGTGAGACGTGAGAATTCATATAGGAGAGAAATTCTTTAACTGAGACGAGACATGAGAATACATACAGGAGAGAAATTCTTTAACTGCGACAAGACATGAGAATACGTACAAAAGAGAAATTCTTTTACTGAGACGAGACATGAGAATACATACAGGAGAAAGATACTTTAAATGTGACTTGAGGTGGAGAATACATACAGGAGAGAAAAACTTTAAATGCATTTCTTTAAATTACACCACAATATTGGGTCGTAGGGTCGTTATTCTTTGGGGTCACAATTCTTTGCAAGGGGTCACTTTGCTTCACGTGAGTGAGTTGTAGCCTTTCAATATTATGATTTTATGACCGGAGATCATTATTTTGTCATTATTCTGTTGGGATCACTCTACTTCGTTACCCTCCCAGAGAATAAACAAGGGGGACTGATTCACTGATTCTGCTTTTTATCTTCTTGGTTAGTGCTCAGTGACTAAGATCTAGATGAATGTACCACCCACATGTCACCTCTGTGCCACCGTATGAATGGGATATCTATTGGTGCCATTGCGCCGGACGGACCGGCCTACAGCTTGGACTGGTGTCAATAATTTATTCCAATGACCATTGACTAAACAATAGGGCCCTTTTGGCAGAAATTAATCAATGGAATTGGCACTAATTTTAATTTCTATATTTTTCGTCCTGAAAAAAAAAAACCAAGAAAGGCCCCTACCCGAGTTACGGGACTATACAAACTGCTGCTAAATGTATCTGTATCATAAAACTGCAATTTAGAATTATTCTAGTATAAATTAACAATACATGATTTGAAAGAAAACTCCCGATATTGAAATCAGCAAATGGTTTAAAAAGAAAGGAAAAAGGGAAGTAACTTTTTGTTGCGTTTTTTAACAAAGACGGATTGAAGCGCAAAAAAAAGGGGAATTTAACCTTTTCCTTCAACATTGAACTTTTTCATTGGTAATTTATCTTGGGTTCCCACCAGAATAATTATTCCTCTGGGGGAACAAGATTAAATTATCCTCGGGAACGAGATAATAAGTTCGTGGGAAACGAGATTATTATTCTCGTTTGGGAACGAGATAATTTAACTAGTGGGAACGAGATAATAAATCGTGGGAACGAAGAAATTATGTCGTGGGAACGAGAATTTAATTAATCGTGGGGAACGAGGGGTAGTATTTATGTTGTGGGGAAACCGAAATAAAAAAAAAGGACACCCACATGTCACCCTCTGTGCCACCGTATTTTCGAAGCTTTAAAAAGGGCGCCATAATTCAAAGGAAATCCTTGTCGGATTTGGGTGTTGGACAATGACCTCCTATTATACTCTTAAATAAGTTTGTGTGAAGTTTCAACCAATTCCCTTTAGTAGTTTTGAAAATGCTTACACGCAAAACCTAAGAAATGTTAACGGGGACGCCGACGCCGGGGTAAGTGCAATAGCTATCCTTATTTTTCGAATAGTCGAATAAACAAGGGAAGACAAAGGGACCAAGAACTAACAAGAAAAAACCTCACAAAAAAGGGAAAACTTATGTAATTTTTGTCAGGAGAATTTTTGTTTTTTAAAAGGGGTAACCTTCCCTTTCACGTTTGTTCAAATTTTTAAAGCCCCCGCCATTGAATGGACCGGGGCAAAAATAGTGGTTTCCGTTTCCGGTAAATTTCCCTCTTCCCTCCTCCCCTCCTTCCGTTTTTCCATCATTCTTCCCTTCCGTCATCATCATTTCCCTTCATTTTTAAAAACGGTTTTTCCCCACATTAACTCAAATTTAACTAAAAGGATATGTCATTTAAAAAATATTTGGTCAAGTTTTATTTGGTTTATGGTTCGATGATTTTTTGGGGGGAGTTATGCCCTTTTTTCTTTTTAAAAAAAATAAAGAAAAATTTTTAGGTTTTTCCCTTTATTAAACTCCCCCAAAAACAAACATTCAACTCAAAATTGGGGATTGGGGTATTGTCGAAAAATTACAAAGGGCAAGTTTCGGGGAAATTTTTTTTATGGTTTGATGATTTTTGGCAGAATTATGCCCCTTTTTTCTTTGAAATAATATTAAATTTTCAGTTTCCGTTAATTATCTAAAATTTTTTCAAAAAATTCCCAAAAAAACTTAAAATTGGAAAATTTTCATTTAAAAAATACAATTTTAAGTTTGTTTTGGGCATGGTTCGATTGATTTTTGCCCGGGGGTTTTGCCCCTTTTCTTTGAAAAAATTGAAAATTTTCAGTTTTTCCCCCCATTATTCCCAAAGGGGGACAACAAAATTAACTCAAAATTTGGGAATTTTGGATGCGGGCAAAGGGAAAAGCGGGAGGCCCAAATTTTAAAATTAAATCATGGTTTTAATGATTTTCCCTCATTTTTCCCCCTTCCCCTCCTTTCCCCCTCCTTCCGTCATCCATCATTCTTTCATGCCGTTTTCCATCAGTTTCCGGGGGTTATTATCCTTTTGAACGGGTTGCACCAACATTTAAAAAATTTGACATATGGATTTTGATGGGAAAAAAACAGGGTGAGATATCCGGGAAATTTTTGGGCAGGTTCGTTTATTTTTTTGGGAGAGTTATGCCCCTTTTTTACTTTGGGGAAAATAATATTGGGAAAATTTTTAGTTCCCCCGGGGGTTTTTTATCTCCCAAAAGGTTTCAAAAACATTTTAAAAATCAATTTGAATATGGATATGTTTTTTGGATGCCCAGGCCAAGGGGTTTGAATTTGGTCATGGGGGTTTAAAAGATTTTTTCCCGAGTTGGGTCCTTTTATTTGA